GACAACGGCAATTTTATTTTAAAAATTAAAAAAACAATAGATGCTGGTGTGGATGCAGAGAAAAGGGAACACTTATACACTTGGTGGGAGTGCACACTGGTGCACCCTCTATGAAAAGTGGTATGGAGATTTCTCAAACAACCAAAAGTAGATCTATCATTTGATCCAGCGATCCCACTACTAGGTATCTACCGAAAGGAACAGGGGTCATTATACAACAAAGACACTTGCAACTGCATGCTCATCGCAGTACAATTCACAATTGCAAAGGTGTGGAATCAACCTAAATGCCCACCAAATGATCACTGGATAATGAAAACGCATATATACACTCTGGGGATACTATTCAGCCATCAGAAAGAACGAAATAATGTCTTTTGCAGCAACTTGGATGAAATTGGAGACCTGCATCCTAAGTGAACTAAGAAACAGAAAAGCAAGCACCCCATGTTCTCACTTATAAATAGGAGCCATCCTAAGGAGCCACAAAGACATAGAGAATGGTATCATGGGCTCTGGGGACACAGAAGGGGGAGGGAGAAGCTTTAGAGGGACAGAAAGTCACCTACTGGACACAGTGTGCATAAGTGGGGGTGGTGGGTACATTTAAAGCCCAGAACAAAAACTATCTGTACCCCCTGAAGCTACTGAAATTTTAAAAAATAATAATAAGATAAAATAAAACCACAATGAGATATTTTCGCATACTCATCAGAATGGATAAAACAACAAAAAAAATGACAATAGCAAACATTAGTGAAGAAGCAGAGGAACTTAATCATGCATACATTGCTATGAGAATGTAAAATGATATAGCAACTCTGGAAAACAGTTTAGCAGTTTCATATAAAAATCAATACATTCCCAATGCATTCATAGTAAGTTGTTGCATGTATCGATAATTCTTCCCTTTTTATTGTGGAGCAGTATCCCATGATATGGATAAACCACAGTTTGTTTAAACATTCATCTGTTGAAGGACACCGGGGTTGTCTCCTGTTTTGGGCTGTTAACAAATAAAGCTGTTGTAAACATTTGGGTACAGGCTTTGTTTGAACTTAAGTTTTCATTTACTGGGATAAATGCTAAGTAGTGCCACAGCTAGACTGCATGGCAGTTGCATATTTATTTTTATATAAAACTGCTAAACTCTCATCTTTCTGGGGGAGTTAAGAACGTTTTCTGGAATAAAATTACAAGATATAATGATTCAGATGATTCATGGTGTTGGACTACTACGTAGAGGCACCTGTATCATCTGGAAAAGTTTACTTTTGGAGCGTAGTAAAAGAAATCCTCAATTTAATCCTCAGAAGTGAATAATTATAAAAGCACTATGGCTTAAATTACACTGCTTGCTTAGAAAGTTGTTTCTAGTCAACCAGCATGTGATTTTGAAAGTGCAAACAAAGAATGTAATTGTGCCTCGTGTTCATGCTACCCGCTGTCTTTCTGCCACGTATAGGGAAGTCAAAAATGTTGCCTTCATTTAATTTGACCTGTGGTTAAGGCACACCATAAAGGAAGACGCTGAAGATATAATTTTGACAATTTTTATTCATATAAAATTACTTACTGATTTTGCAAGATTCATTTTTCTATTAGCCAAAACATATCAGAATACTACTCATTTCTTCTGAAATGAAGTTATTTCTAAAGTAAAGGTATCTTTTAGCCAAACTGAATGTACATGATGTTTGTCTACTGAGTTGAAGCACTGTCTGCAGCTCTTAGAATTTACACAACAGTCGTGATCTTCACCATGTTTTGAATTTTCTGATCTATGTGCTCTATATTTAATATTACTTTATGAGATAACAATGACAAAATGCTGCATTTTTTAAAAGAAAAGACAAAACTAAAATCCAAGAACAAAAAGATTTTCTTTCTTTCCCTCAACCATTTTTCTAATCCCAACTCTCTTCCCAGCCTTTCCCTGAGGCTTCCTATGGCCAGTTTTCCCTTGTCGGCTGCCTAGACCTTATCACAAAACACAACTCACACTTACATACTACTTTACACTGGATGCTGATTATCTAGGGAGAGATAAATGCAACAATCTTCTCTCCTACAATTTCTAAAGAACATGGCTTGAAATCAGAGGATAAAAGGTCTTCAGGATACAGAAGCCTCAACAGAAGAGAAAGTGTTAATGAGAATAGGGATTATTACAAATGATAAAAATATACTGAGGGAAAAAGACTGAATAAGAAAGTCATGACTGAAATATGAAGTGAACTCAGCAGTGCAAACATAAAACAATGGGTGAAGTCTTAGAATAAAGGAGTCACTTGAGGCTGATGTTAAGACTTTTCTTGAACTTTCTGATTTACATACTCTATAGTTAATAATTACTTGGTTGAAAGATCATGAACTCTCAGAAAAATTGTCTTGGTACTCCTTGATGTGGCATTAAAGAATATTTACATAATCATAATAATGTTTCTGGACTTGGAATTTTAGAAATATCCTATGGATAATAACCTGGTTACTTTCACAGGACTTAACAAAAACATTGATGTTCCTGACAAAGTACAAGATAAAATGATTGGCAGGTGATATGGACAAGAGACAAAAGATGAACTAAAAGACGATGAAGACTTAGCATTCTGGCAAAATAACGGCTAAACCGACGTGAAAATGCTTCTGCTACAATAGACATTAAATATAAACCACTGCAAAATGAGAAAAAGCAAAAATGGAGCTTATGTGTCTCTTGCAAAGAATAGCTGAAGAATGTATTTGTTGTATTACGGAAGGCTTTTTATGTAATGGCATGCGATAAATAACTCCTTGAATTCAGTCACAGGAAAACAGAAATTCAAAACTTTCCCCCTTGCCTTGGTCAGGACACCTAGCAAACCAAAGCAAAACCACACAAGTGGAAAACTCCTACAACCAGTCTCCAAAGGATTTCCACAAAGGAAAATAAATCTCACTGAAGATAAACTCAAGAGAAAAAAAATTTAAAACGTGTGAAAACTGTCTCCCATAAGCAAGAGCCTGTATTGCTACCCCAATTACAGGAGTTAACAGAGCAAAAATACCTACCATTCAAAAAGACATTTTTTAAAGCATGGTTAAAATTACTGAAGAAATAAAAGAAAGGTTAGAAATCATAAAGCACAAAATACAAGTAAGATAATCAGGTAGATTTGAAAAAATCAAATAGGACTTGTGCAAATGAAAAGTGCAGTCTTTAAAAATGAACAATTCGAGCTGGGCTCGGTGGCTCAGCCTGTAATCCCAGCGCTTTGGGAGGCTGAGGTGAGTGGATTGCCTGAGTCTACGGGTTCGAGACCTGCCTGGGCAACTTGGTAAGACCTCATCTCTACAATAAATAAAAAGCTAGCCGGGTGTGGTAGTGCGTGCCTGTAGTTCCAGCTACTTGGAAGGCTGAGGCGGAAGGATCGCTGGAGCCCAGCAGGTAGAGACTGCAGTGGCCGGGAGCGGCCACTGCACTCCAGTCTGGCTGACAGAGTGAGACTCCAACTCAAAAAAAAAAAAAAAAATGAACAATTCAATGGATGGGTTCACTAGCAATTTCTGACACATAGTTGAAGAGTTAATTAGGAGCTTTATGGCAGATCTCAACACACTGAACTGGAGGTGAGATTATTTCTTGTTATTATTGGTTCCATACTATTAGAACTATTGCTTAAAGCATTTTTTACTTTGAAACGTTATTTATTTATTTATTTATTTATTTTTTGAGTTGGAGTCTCACTCTGTCACCCAGACTGGAGTGAAGTGGCTGCTTCTGGCCACCGCAGCCTTGACCTGCTGGGCTCCGGCGATCCTTCTGCCTTGGCCTTCCAAGTAGCTGGAACTACAGGCATGCGCTACCACGCCCAGCCGATTTTTGATTTATTGTAGAGATCAGGTCTTGCCAAGTTGCCCAGGTGGGTCTCGAACCCGCGGGTTCAGGCAATCCACTCACCTCAGCCTCCCAAAAGCACGGGATTACCGGCTGAGCCACTGAGCCCGGCTGAAACGTTATTTTACAATTAAGAACACTTACGTTTTATAAAACCTAACTGAAGACAGCATTCTACATCATTTAATGCTCTGTACATAAGGACTCCTGTGAGAAATTACTTCTTGAATTCATTTACAGGAAAATGAGAATCCAGAGCTTTTCTCCTTTTGCTTTCAATTCAGGATTTAGTTCAGTGCTCAACAAAGTAGCGCATTCATAAACATATTTTATTTTTTATTTTAAGTAAGATTTTATTCTGACTTAACTTTTACTTTGTGCAAAACAAATAGAAGCATTAACACTCTTTATATATGTTTACTTTTAAGGTCCCTTGGAATGCTTTTTGAAAGACAGTGGGAATGAAGCTATAAAATTCTTATCACACAAGATATCAAAAGTTACAGATCTGTTACCCCCTCAAAAGGGATTAATCTTACTTTGGTGTTTATATTGATTTAATTCATTCTCAAAAGTGTAAATAGTCTTTAAAATTTCTTAACGAGATATTCACAAATAGGTGTTAGAACCAATTTACCTCTTATAAAATCTCTAACCTTGGAGCTGCCCTGGTGGAGACTAAGTGGAGGCAGAGGAGGGAAATGCCTGGCCCACCAGCCCAGAGGGCTCTGGAGCTCCCTGAGCCCAGCCAGAAAACGACTGCTACACAGACTTTCAGTTATCTGAGTAATACGAAGTCTCACTGTTTTAACTACAAGACACAAGTCAAAACACTATCACAGAACATTCCTAGGAGGGAATATCCATTTTTCAGTGTTATCTTTATAAACCCGAATTATAAAGGGAATTCAGTGATGATAAAGGAAATGAGAGAAAAGGTTAACTAAAACTCAAAATACTATTATTTCAGTTATAATAGCCTCTTTGCCGCTTTTCCTTAAAGCCAAATAAACAAAGCCATATAAGCATAACCACTAAAAATTATTCCATTAGTAGCATAAAGTTATCCTGAATCTTAAAAATAATTATGTAACAATCACATTCTCAAATGTTACTTCCTTACATTGTGGAGACAAGGCAAATGTCAACATCTTGTGTGCTGTTGAACTCTTTCACGATCCTGAGTCTCTCCTCTGATTTTGTACTTCCATCAAGTCGCCGGTAATCGAGCCCAGCCGCCATACAGTATTGTTGCAGCACGTCCAGCAACTGGAGGAAAGGCATAGAAACGGGCAAATGTAAATTCCTGGTTTAGTATGTTTCAGACTTACAAAGATCAGATTCATTAATTAGGTATTAATTATCGTTGCTCACAATTTCTTTCTTAAAATTCCAAGAGCAATCAATATTTTTCTCTGACTCATGTATTTCTTCTTGTTATCCTGAAACTGGCTTTAATGTTTAGCAACCTGTTTAAAAAAAAAAAAAAATCCTTACTTTAAAAAAAACAAACTGAAAACAAAACTATTAGTCAGGCGGGGCTTGGTGGCTCAGCCTGTAATCCCAGCGCTTTGGGAGCCCGAGGGTTCGAGACCCGCCTGGGCAACCTGGCAAGACCTCATCTCTACAATAAATCAAAAATTAGCCGGGCGTGGTAGCGCGCGCCTGTATTTCCAGCTACTTGGAAGGCTGAGGCAGAAGGATCGCTGGAACCCAGCAGGTCGAGGCTGCGGTGGCCGGGAGCGGCCACTGCACTCCAGTCTGGGCGACAGACTGAGACCCCAGCTCAAAAAAAAAACAACAAAAAAAACTATTAGTCAAATCATTTATGTAAATATATTTCATTATATGTGCTACCTTCTAAGTTCTTGAATGTCTTAAAGAATAATTAAGAAGAGTATCAACAGAAAATAAAAATTTATCTTTGAGTCTGATATTTGACAGTAACCTGATATACCTGAAATCAAAATGTCTGTCTGAATACTTCAAGCTGCTCACCTCACTACATTTCCTATGTGTAGATACGAGAAAAACGTGGCTGTGAGCTGCCACGTCCCTTATGCTTATGCCTCAGGGCTTAGGGCTGGCCAATCAAGAATGCACTTTAGATGAAACTCACCTTGGTGGAAAAAGAAAAGAGAAGAACTTTATCTCTATTTTTCCTGCAATGATTTAAAAGCTGCTGAAGGACCTGAAAATGAACCACAGAAAATCAGTGAAGCAGTTCTAACTGAAAGTACACTATATACATACACCCATCACTTGAGAATTTCTTTAAAACTATTTTTATACAATACCAACCTCAGTCATCTTTTCTAATTCCTTTTATTTTTTTCCAAGTTAGAGAAATAAAGTATTAGCTATTACGTAAAACGTTATTTATCACCACATTGTCAATAAGGAGGTAAAGTTCCCAAAGACTTATTTCATCTCATCTGGTTTTAATAAAAAGGAAGCATTTTAGATTATGGGATGCATTTAAATGGATTAATTCAATTTCCAAAATACACTTTCTTTATATCTACAATACGTTAAGAAACTAAATTACAGAGCAACATTCCTTCCAGGAAGTGTTTAAATAGTCTCTAGATGGACGTACTGAAATGTGTTCAATTAGATCTAGGTTCTAAAAGTCTTGATATTTATTTTCTTAGAATAATCAGTCTGATATACACCTCTTCTCATTTTCTCCCCTTTGTTTCTTTATTTACAGTAAGCTCTGACTTCCAGATTTGATCTTGACCTCAAAATGCCAATAATCTGCCCCCACACACAGTGCTTTTAGGGAAGAAGCAAATAGTCCAAAGCCTTGTTTGTAACAGTAATACTGTTTGCTATTTTTATTTCCACATTAGGCAAGGAAAGTCCCACAACACCATGAAAACAAATTCACAGAGGGGAAAAGAGGAATTTTCTATAGTAAACCTAAAGGTTTTTTGAAAGATGAAGTAGACACTCAGACAGTTTTATTTATTCAATGATAAGCATTTAAGCTTTTAAATAAAAGAATGCATACCCCCTACAACACTCTCTTAATCGGTGATCAAGAGAAGACACAGTGCTAACTTGGACTCCTGCTTCCCAGACCCTCAAAAAACTACAGAGTCGAAAAGAAATTCTCAGGTAAGCAACCAAATGGCGAATAGGAATGTCACAGATCAAGGAAACACTATTTTAATATGTGGAGGATGTACAAAGTAAGTTTTATTTGCATTTAGCTTTATTTTTAAACAAAATAGCACTCATACTTCTGTATGAAGTATATGCTTCTGAATTTTACATAATTTACTTAATTTTACTTAATTTCAATTGATAGACTTTTGGTTTTATAGATGAACAGAGTAAAAAGTACAGAAAATTCCCATATACTTCCTCTCCTATCCCCACTTCCATCCCTCCTCCACCCTTTCTCTCCGTATCAATATTAATATTTAAAAATCGATCATTAATTATTAATTAATAAAATGTATTAGTATTAGCATGATATTTATAACAACTGATGAAGGAATATCAATACATTATTATTAGCTAGAATCCACAGTTTACATTAGGGTTCACTCAGTTGTGTTGTCCAGTTCTATGGTTTTTGACAAATGCATAATGACATGTATCCGCCACTACATTATTACACAGAATCGTTTCACTGCTGTAAAAATTCCCTGTGCTTCACCTACCCATCCTTCTCTCCCCCTAGAACCCCTGGCAATCACTGAGCTTTTTACTATCTCCACAGTTTCGCTTTTCCCAGAGTGTTGCATAGTTGGAATCACAGAGAATGCTGCCTTTTCAGACTGGCTTATTTCACTTAGCAATATGCATGTAAGGTTCTTCCATGTCTTTTTGTAGCTTGATGGCTCATTGCTTTTTATTGCTAAATAGTGTTCCATGGCACGGCTGTACGACAACTGGCTTATCCATTTACCTACTTAGGGACATCTAGACTGCTTCCACGTCTTAGCAATTATTAATAAGTTCATGTTGGGTTCTTAGGTAGCTATAAGTTTTTAATTCAATAAAATTTAACTCATTTAGGTAAATACCAAGGAGTGCAATTGCTGGATCATGTAAGAGTATGTAAGGTAATCTTCTTTATGTTTAAATATTTAAGAGCTGTGTGAGAAACGATTCAATTGTCATCCGAAGATGCACTATTTTGCATCCCACCAGCAAAAGATGAGAGTTCCTGTTGCTCTACACCCTCACCAGCATTTGGTGTTGTCAGTTTTCTGGATTTTAGTCATTCTAATAGACATGGAGTGGTATCTCATTGCTGTTTTAATGTGCAGTTCCTTAATGACAAATGATGTTAAGCATCTTTTCATATGCTTATTTGTCATCTGTATATCTTCTTTGCTAAGGTATCTGTTCAGGTGTTTTGACCATTTTTAAACTAGACTCTTTGTTTTCTTATTATTGAGTTTTTCAAAGGGGGCCATCATTTCTGAAAATATGCTACTGGCTTAAATGGTGAGATAATAAGTGCTCAGTTCTAAACTAATTGGGCTTTTTATTTTTTGAATATAAAAAGAATGAAATAAAAGTCAATGATATAGATTTGAATTATTTGTTGTGATAATAAATCATATGACACGCTCATTTATACAAACTTATTCTAAAAAACACAACTATTTAATGAAATAGTCTTTACTATTTATATCCAACTTTCTATTTTAGTTCACTAAATGTAAAGGTCCCAAGCCTACTAAACCACGATGAGCTTATATAGATTAACTGCTAAAAGTATTTCCAAAATTTAAGGGAAAAAAACAAAAACAAAAATTGACTGCTTTAAATTATTTCCTTTTTATTCCTTTTGCCAAAAGAAATAATTTACCTTTTCCTTAATTGTAAAACAAAGTTGAGACTTGTTCTGTAAAAACCTCTTAATCTATAAATAAAGATTCTTGATCGTTATTAAGGGGTTAAACAAACTAATTCTGTTGTAAGAAGGCTGGAAGCTGTCAGCATTCATGCTGCTGTCACCGGCAAAGCCCAGGGGACTGCGTCATGGTTGGAGAACTCAGCTTACTCTTCACACCCCTCCCTCAGTAATTCATCACGGAAAGCAGCTGAGCTACAGGTCAGTTTCCCTGTGTATTACAAATGTTCTTTTGCCACCTTACAATCTAGGCCTGCAAGTAAAAACAAGAGACAGAAAATTCTAGACACGGAGGCCTTGCCCACCTTGGAGCCCTTAAGAGATTCCTGTCTGATTCCAAGCTAATGCCTATCCTTATCCTCCTGTTTTACATTAGCATTTATGTTTCTGGTAGGTTATTTCCTTAAACATTTGAAGACAAGCTATTACACACGTGATAACAGCATCCATTTCAAGAGGGCATAAGTCCAATACATCAAGATTAGGAAAGGCTGAAGAATATTTGATGCCACTACCACTGACCTACTGTGCACACACACTGTACTCAGTGTTCACAGGGAGCCAGCAAATGTGGCTACAACTACACCAGCTGTCAGTAGCCACCATCTCTTCCAAATGATTGAGCAGCCGATCTGATTAGTTGGTCTAATCACTACCACTGATCTGCCACTACCACTAAGTAAATATTTTGTATACCATCCTTGTCTGTATGTAACCTGAAGGAAGGGCACTTACCTTCATTTTTCCACTGTATTTAGGGTCAGAAAGTGTTTCAAAAGCTGCATCTTTGCTTTTCTGAACAAAATGAGGGAATCTGGAAAATACCTGATCACATATCCTTTTGATAAGGGTTTCCTTGAGGGGAAAAGTAGAAGAAAAGGTAACTTAACACATTTAAACCTATATAAACTGAAACTGTTCATGAAAAGCAATTTCTATTTAGAAAGACTATATTATTTTGAAGATTCTGCCATCTCTAAATCAGATTAATAATTCAGAAAATCTTAATAAAGTGATATGTTAAACATATTTGGCTTTGATGAATTCTTAAAAATGTGTCTACTAACTTGATCATTACGTTTTTAAAGATTTTCAAAACAAGGTGTCAAATACTCCCAAAAGAGTACTATCAAAGAATATTAAGTCTTATGAAATTTCAAAATTACATTTAAACAGATAAACTATAACACAAAATAAAAGTATAAAACCAGTACATAAAGGTTTTTAAAAAGATCTTTCCATTTATACTGTGCTCTACAATAAGACACAATTAAAAAGGATCAAAGAAAATAATCAAATTTAAACTTAAACTGAAATTACTGATTTTTGCCAGTTTGTTAAACAGTCCTAATATTTAATATGCAGATTATTATAAATGATTGTTCACCTAGTAGATAAGATAAATATAACTAGAAACATATTATAGGAATAAGACTGACTCACAAAATATCTTATTTAGTAATCATACCAAGGGATGTTTGGAAAAATAAATACATGAACATTATTAGAGGCATAAAAAGAGTTATTTTAATTTAAGCTTAAATGTTCTCACTTTGATTAAAAACTTAAGTGTACACACTCCTAAATTTAAAACTGAGCAAGTCAGTTTCATCTTAAATTTCATTAAAAAAGATATTTAGCTAAGAAATTTCATACCAAATATAAAATATGTATACCAATAGCATCACAGAGAAGTATAAAAAGCCAATGCAAACCTGTTGTCTGGAGGTGCTGGCAGCCTGCAGGAGCGAAACATGATTAGCTACTTTCTGGAGGACCGCTAGGTAACTGAGATACAAGGTTTTCATTGTTTCACCGTGCGCATTGGTCTGGAACCAGAAAAAAAAAATATATATAAAAAACTAACATGGCTATGTACCTGCTTACGTCATAAAATATAGCACTTAAGATAATGTGTACTATCTGGCTACTTTTGGCAGAAAAAAGTCTAAGAAAATGATGGTCAGCTATTTATACAAAATATTCATGAGTAATTAACACTGGAATCAAGTTTTTGGTGAATCATAAAAGTGGAAAACGAGGATATCAAATTGAAGCTTACTTTCTACAATTAACTTTTTGAAAATATATTTGAATATTATATTTTATATATGTGATTGCTAGTTGATATTATAAACATTTTGAAAACTACTCCTTTTTACAAAACATATAGCTTTTAAAGCTAAAGAACTTTCTCAGAGAAAGTTATTTTTTTATCTGCTACTTACTCTGACACTAAAAGGGTATACTACACGAACAAAAGCAAGATAGTAAAGATACTGAAATGCCTGCCTTGTAACAGCAGTTTCTCTTCTTCCGCCCACTGCTGCAGGTACAAGGCTGAGAAGACTGAAGTATCAAAGTCACATCTTCTGTTTCTAATACTGTTTGATAGACCGCTTTCTGGAAATCTGTCAGAGAACAATACACCATCTGCCAAGATAAAATACAAGGTAATTATCAGTATCTTGTACATAGCAACAATAATAATCGCAATGCACATCTGATTTCATAGATTGTCATAGTGAAAATTGCTATAAACTAATTTCTTCTCTTGTTACATAATTATTACAATTTTCTCCCAGTTTTCCTATATTCTTTGCTCTTCATCTCACCTAGACGATACAAATTATAATTTTTCAAATAAATCTCATAGAGCTTTTTAAATTAAAAAATCATAATATGAAAAAACAAATGACATCATTTCCTTATACACTTGACCCTTGGACAGCACATGCAGTCAAAAATCCACATATAACTTCTGACTCCCCCAAAACTTAACAACTAACAGCCTACTATTGACCAATGCCTTACCAAGTACATAAACAGTCACAAAACACATATTTTATATGTTCTATCTATTATATACTGTATCCTTACAAAAAAGTAAGCTAGAGAAAGTAAAATGTTATTGAGAAAATCAAAAGAAAAAAATATATTTACTATTCATTAAGCGGGTCTTCACAAAAGTCTTCATCCTCGTCTTCGGGTTGAATAAGCTAAGGAGAAGGGGCTCGTCTTGTGGTCTCTGGGGTGGCAGAAATGGAAGAGGTGGAGGAGGTGGAAGGAGAGGCCGGGAGACAGTAGAGGCAGTCACACTCAGTGTAACTTTATAGAAATACGTTGTAATGTCTGACTGACTTTTTTGCTTTTCATTTCTCTAAAAAGTTTCTATACGGTCCCAATCTTTCTTCCAAAATTTGCTTTAGTTTCAGTGCCCAAATCATAGAAGGGTCCATTTTGTAAAAGACGTCAAAAGCAGTCGTGAATCATTGGAACTCTTCTGTCAGACTAACACCATTCTACTTTCCAGGACTGCTTCTTCTATGTCTTCTGCCCAGCATCTGGCACTGGTTTGGAAGCATTCATCTCCATCAAGTCATCTTCTGTTAATTCCTAAATTTCTGTGAGTTAGCTCATAAATTTCTCTAAGATATGAATCTTGAAACCCTTCACTTCCTACCTTCTTTCTTTCTTTTGTGTCATATCCACAATCTCTTTCACGATTTCCTTGATTGGTTTTGTCATAAATCTTGTGAAGTCATGCACAACATCTGGATAGTTTTTTCCAGCAGGAATTTATTGTCCAGGCTTGATAGCTTTCATGGTTTTTTCTATAACAATGACATCTTTAATGGTATAATCCTTCTAGACTTTCACGATGTCTTCTCTATCAGGGTTCACTTCCATAGCACTGACAATCCTTTCTACAGAGTATCATGTGTGATGGGTCTTAAAGGTCCTTATGAGCCTCTTGAGCTAGAAGCTGAATTAGAGATGTTGCATCTGAGGGAAAGTAAACCACTCTGATGCTTTCAGTGTTGAACTCATGAGGTCCTGGGTGGCCAGGAGATTTGTCCAATGTCAAAAGAACTTTAAGTGGCAGTACTTTACTGGCAAAGTACATCCTGACTTCAGGAACAAAGTATCAACAGAACCAATCCAGAAAAAGGGTTCCCACTGACCAGGCCTTCTTGTTATACAAAAAACTGGCAGCTAATGTTTATCTTTTCTCTTCAAGGCTTGAGGGTTAGCAGCTTTTTGAATACTGGAAGTCTTGATGATAAACCTGACTACATTTACATACAAGAGTAGATCTGGCCTATCCCTTCCTGCATTAAATCCTGGTGCTTACTTTTCTCATAAATCTCCTTTGTGGCATTCCCCTCCACCCCTCCACAGGATAGAGCACTTCATCTGCATTCTATGTTTGGGCATGTTTTGATGCAGAAATACTTACCATTGTGTTACAACTGCCTGAAATATTCAGTACAGTAACATGCTATTCAGGTTTATAGCCTAGGAGCAATAAACTCTTTCATATAACCTGGGTGTGTAGAAGGCTCTACTATCTAGGTTTGTGTCAGTACATTCTATGATGTTCACACAATGAAATTGTTCAAAACTGCCTAAAGGTACATTTCTCAAAACATGTCCCTGTCATTGAGGCATGACTGTAATTTATTTGCATGGTGGGCTAATATAGAACTCTGAGAAGGCCCACAATATGTTAAGAAATATACAGTTGATCCTTGAACAACATGGGTTTGAATTATGCACATACTTACTCTTATACTCTCTATAACATATCCTAAAGAGGATATCCTAAAATTAGAGGACATTTATAGAATTGCCCTTATTGGGGACAACATTTATTAGGCTTAGTTTCATAGTAATTTATAAGACCTTTATTCCATTACCTGAGTTAGAAGAATCACAAGATTTGAAAACTATAAAAGAACACTACCATACTTTAAAAAATTCTCTTCAAGTCAACTCTTCAAATTATCTAAAAAAATTAACAATGTAATTATCCAACAAATTCCAAACATTAGGTTAGTCGTATTCATCAAGAAATAAATCTATTTTTAAAAAAGCTTTGAACCACTTTGGTCCAACAGCTAGAATTAAGGTATCAAAGAATATACTGTGTGGTAGATGGTACACAGGATATGAAGGACAAAGTGTGAACAGAAAACATTAGAAGAGAACCTCTTCCATCTGTATTAGGGAAAAACAATATCAAAAGTTTTGAAAAGAAATGAGTTTAATGCATATGAACAATAAATCTGTTCGCTAACATGTTAGTAAAGATAGTAAAAAAAAAAAAAAACCCAAACAACTGGGCTCAATTAATATGTTTTGAAATTCTGTATTTAATAATTTTTTCCACACAGAATAAAAATTAAAAAATTATATTCACAAAATATCACAGGAGACAGACTTTTTCTTAAAAAGGGGAAAAAAAAAACAAGACAAGAAATTAGTAATATACACAAATGTAGTTCTTACCCGGTCTTCCTTCTTAGGTAACTGATCCTTGATAAGAGTCTTGGTACGCCTGAGAAGCCAGCCAGACATCTTTTTGGCAAGCCTTTGCATGGCTTTTCGGCCAGTGGCTAGTTCTCTTTTTGTTGCTGTGTGTCTCTGACCATGTTCTACTGGGTCAGAAAACTGCTTCTTGAAGTAGGTCCCGCTACCTAAAAGTCCTGGCACAGCCCTTATTAAGACAATAAGAAATGTGTTAGAGCTTTATAATCTTTTTTTTTAAAAAAAAGACTTCTTTTTTCTTCTAAGAGATACACTAACTCACATGTTTATTAATGGCACCAGAAACAAAAGCCAAGAAAACAATGTTCTTTTCTTTTTGATAGTTTCGTTTTATAACTATAAGAAGATGATGGCATAGATAGGTAGCATGTATATTTACTTCAGGGACCAAGGGTAATATATAAAGATAAGTGTTTTATAAAGATAGTATAAGGATAGGATCAAATACAGACAAATGATTGCTTTTCCCCCTTCAGACACTAATGATTAGCGAACAAGAGAGCATTAAGCTAAAGAAGTATTATATAACTTTTTAAAAAAGTATTTTCCCTCACCAGTCTATAACACACCACAGTTCTTTCATATTGTTCTGAAGAATGGTTCCAGTGAGGCCAATGCGGACATAACACTTCAAAGCTTTCATAACCTCTGTTACTCTAGCTTTTGGATTCTTGATTCTATGGGCTTCATCCACAATGACAGCTGACCATTCCAAACTATAAAGTAAGAAGAGGGGAAAGGCTGAGTAAACTTCCCTTTCTTAATCCACAGAATTTTTAGAGAAAAACTTTCTCTACCAAAGTTTTGGAGTTTTTGTTTTTGTTTTTTCTCTTCTTTACTTTTTGATGGTTCCATTAGATTCTTACCTAGTTAAATGGTCACAGGTTTGGACAGCCCACAAAAATAAAAGGTGTCTCGGTGGATCATCACTGAAATCCCGCCAATGAAGGAATTTCTTTAAAAGAAATAAACCAGAAAATATTCAAATATAAAAAAAGCAAAACTAGCAATGTTAAATCTGAATGAAAAAATATCAATAAAACTCATAATTGTAAAAAGTTACATTGCATAGCCCTGGCTACTAAAAATGTTTACAATTATTACCCCCCCAAAAATGAAAGCCCATATTGGTCTATACTAAAAGGAACCAGAGCCCCATGGAACCATGAGATGGTTGATTTCAGGCATGTAGCAGGGGAAATGCTGAAGAGAGAGGTGCAGATGCATACGGAGACAAATGGGATATTACCAAAGGACACGAAGCCAGCTTCAATGAAATATTGAAGCATCATCAAGCGTGACTATAACTGAATATATAAATCACTGAATAAATACAAATCCAGGAGTTCTATGAAAAAAATTAATTTAGACTCTTACTTCTTCATACATAAAAATTAACTCAAAACAGATCACAGACCTAAAATGAACTAAAACTATGAAACTGATAAAATGCAGGGGAAAAAAAATCTGTGTGACTCTAGGTTAAGCATACATATCTTAGACATGACACCAGAGAGGTATGGTCAACACAAAATTTTTTGATAGGTTGATTTCATCAAAGATAAAACAATTTGCTCTTCCAAAGATAACTTAAGAAAATATAAAGACATATTACAGACCAGGCAAAAGCATTTGCAAATCATAATCTGATAAAGGATGAATATACAGAATATATAAAGAAAATATTACATCTCAATTTAAAATAGCCCAATTAAAAGATGAGCAAAAGATTCTAACAGACACTTTGTCAAATGTCTATTTAAAGATATACAAGCAGCAAACAAACACATGAAATGATTCTCAATGACATTAGTTATTAGAAAAATGCAAATTAAAACCACGAGACATCACTACACACCCAGAATAATGGCTATAATAAAAAAGATTAACGTATCAAGTGTTGGCAAGGATGTGGAGAAATTAGAATCCTCACATACTGCTTTTGGGAAAATACAGCTACTGTTCTAACACAGTTTGGAAGCTTCTTAAAAATTAGCTGGGCATGATGGCACACACCTGCGGTCCCAGCTACTCAGGAGTCTGAGGCAGAAAGATTGTTTGAACCTAGGAGGTCAAGGCTGTGGTAAGCTGTGATCATGCCACTGCACTCCAACCTAGGGGGACAGAGTGAGACTCCAACTTAAACAACAAAAAAAGTTAAACACATACTTACCATAGACCCAGCAATTCCATACCTATGTATCTCTCCCAGAGATGAACACCTAAGTGCAAAGACTAGTACATGAATGTTTACAGCAGCATTATTCATATAGCCCCAAACAGGAAACAATCCAAATGTACATCAAACAAAATAAGATTTGTCCATACGATAGCACCATTCAGCAATAAAAAGGAACTACTGAAATGTGCTACAATATGGATGAACCTCAAAAATATCTTAAGTGAAGGAAGCTGAACCCCAAAGACTTTATACTGAATGGCTCATTTACATGAAATTTCTAATAAAGGCAAATCTATAGAGACAGAAAGCAGATTAGTGGCTGCCTGGGGTTGGAGACAGGAGCAGGGATCGAGTGGAACAACCTGATATTATATTTCCTGAAGTGCCCAATATGAAGGCCACAGCATCAACTACGAAGCATGCTTGCCAAAGATGTTTAACCTGGATCTAATTAAGCCTTTAGGCCAAAACCAGTTTACTGAAATACAGATAATAGGGAAATACACAACTCTTTGAGACAGCAATCTGACAAATCTAATATGACCTAAAGGACAACTGGCCTCATCCCCTCAAAAGATCGAATGATGAAAAAATAGAAGTTGGGGGAACAACCTAGATTAGAAGAGACTATATAGACTTAATAACCAAATTTATCACCTGAACCCTCATTGAATCCTGCTTTACAAACATCAGATATTAAAGATACTTTTAGAACTGATGAAATTTTAATTGCTATTACTTTTCTTGTGTGTAACATGACAATGTGGTATGAAAAAGAATATAACTAGTTTTAGAAAATCCATGCTAAAATATTTAGGAATGAAGTTGTCACATTATACGAACTTGTTGAAAGGATTCAATACCACCACTGTACATAGACAAAGACACAGACACACACACAAAACATTAATTTACATTCTGCCAACATTTGCATATACACGGGGTACCAAAAAAATGTATACTCATTGCAATGACATTTGCTCAAAAGATGGCATTAATCGAATGCTAGCGTCACCATATGATGACAGGCAGGACAGTCAAAGAAAATGGCAGAAGCACAGTTGAGCGAATGTCATAGTCTACACTGCTACCATAATTTAATTCAACTTTGAAAAGTAATACATAAATAACATCTCTAAAATGTGTATACACTTTTTTGGCACCTGCTGAATCTAGGTGGTGAGTATATGGATGCTCATGTGTCATCATTTCAACAGGTTTCATAATTTTCTTCATATAAAGTCAATACAGAGTAGAAGCCAGCCGGGCTCGTGGTTCAGCCTGTAATCCCACGCTTTGGGAGGCTGAGGTGAGTGGATTGCCTGAGCCCGGGGGTTCGAGACCCACCTGGGCAACTTGGCGAGACCTCATCTCTACAATAAGTTAAAAAAAAAAAAAATTAGCCAGGCGTGGTAGCATGCACCTGTAGTTCCAGCTACTTGGAAGGCTGAGGCGGAAGGATTGCCGGAGTCCAGCAGGTTGAGGCTGCGGTGGCTGGGAGCGTGTCACTGCACTCCAGTCTGGGTGACAGAATGAGACTCCAAATCAAAAAAAAGTAGAAGCCCTCAAGAACCGAGAGAGTGAAAAGTCAAAAAAAAAAATCTAGAAACTGCCAGTAGCGGAAATAGCCAAGAAGTAACTTGATTTACATTATTTAGCTCTTAGAGAGTCAGGAATTGGTGGCACCAAAGACCTCTGCAAATTGCAGTCATGAAAATGTTCAACAGTCTGCCTAAGAAGTAGTTGGATCTCCTAGATACCAATCCTCCCACTCCACAAAATAGACAAACCAGGACATCCTGGTAAAGGTAATAGGGCAGAGGAAGGAAAAGACTGCAGTTTTTTGCTAAAAACCTTAAATCCCATTTGGATCTTTAAATCATACACATTTATAACTTTGACAAAATTAAAATTTGAGTAAAAATGTAACAGCAATAACAAAAAGATATAGCTCACTCATCTTACATAGTGTGTTTATCTACTCTGGATTATCTAGGATAAATGCAAAGAGCTCTTTTCTCACAAAAATTAAAATATTTACTCAGATAAAATATAAATTGTATTAACTGTTTGTTAAAATAAAGCAATTTGAACTAATATGACTAAAGAAACTAACAAAAAAGATAACATTTTTATTCTTCTAATCTTACAAATGATTTATATTTACATAATTCCACTCAAGAATTCTTGTTTAATATTTATAAAAACCACAGAAAAATAACTATTTAACAAACATTTATTCAGCAACTATTATGTACTAAACATATAATAAACACCAAAATATAGAAATTAAAAATAAAATCTTATATATCAAAGAACTCACAGTGTAAAGGGACAGACAGGTAAAAAAACATAGCATGATTCATGCTATGATAAACAAATTTGTTACATTTATCTATATGCAGGACATCTTTTGGGATGGTACAGTATATCGGTTAACAATCTGAGGTCTGACGTTAGATAATCAAGGCTCAAACCTCCTGTCCACCACTGACTTGGCTGTGTAGGCCTGGAGAAATTACTTAACCTCCTCATGTCTCTGATTAGTCTGTCTTCTGCTAGCATCCATGAATCAGTCAGTAAAAGGCTAACTTTTTATCTTGTAAGTTCGATTTATAAAATTGAATCCCAAGGCAATACCCATTAAATTACCAACATCATTCTTCTCAGACCTGGAAATGACAATACAGAAATTCATATGGAAACAAAAACGACCACAAATAGCCAAAACAATCCTCAGCAAAAGAAACAAAGCAGGAGGTATCACACTCCCAGACTTTAAACTTTATTATAAGGGTACAGTAATCAAAACAGCCTGGTATTGGTATAAGAACAGGCATATAGACCAATGGAACAGGATAGAGATTCTGGAAGCAAAACCTCCACTTCTCAACCAACTCATCTTCGACAAAGCCTCCACCAACAACCACTGGGGAGAGGAACATCTTTTCAGTAAATGGTGTTGGGAAAACTGTTTAGCCACATGCTGAATGAAACAGGACCCCTACTTATCACCACATACAAAAACCAACTCTAAATGGATCAAAGAACTAAATGTAAAACCTCAAACAAAAAGAATCCTAGAAAACACAGGCGACACCCTTATGGAAATTGGAATAGGCAACCAACTCCTAATTAAAACCCCAGATGTCCATGCCATAAGGGGTAAGATAGACAAGTGCAACCTCATCAAACTGAAAAGCTTCTGCAAGGCAAAAGAAACCATCAAGAGAGCAGGGAGACAGCCCACAGAATGGGGGGAAATACTTGACAACTGTATATCTGACCAAGGCCTAACATCTAGGCTCTACAAGGAACTGAAATGTGCTGAAAAGAAAAAAAACAACCCTATTAAAAAGTAGGCAAAAGATATGAATAGACACTTCTCAGAAAAAGACATACAAGCAGCCAACAGATACATGAAAAAATTCTCAGCCTCACTAATCATCAAAGAAATGCAAATTAAAACTACACTGAGATACCACCTAACTCTAGTCAGGATGGCTGTCATCAGTAACTCAAAAAACAAGATGCTGG